GATATTTCTTGATATCCAGTGATATATTTATTTTAATTGGGAGAGGAGTAAAAAAAAGGGGTATTGTGATAAATTTTAAGAGTACTTATCTGTAAGAGGCAAATATTGGAATAGTTACATATGAAATATTAAGTTTCTGCTCAGCTTTAATATAATAGAGTGTAGAAGCAATTGGAAGTCAGGATGAAAGAGTGGCCAGGCCTTGATAATATTGAATCTGGGAAACTGACCGAGTGAGGTTCATTGTAATAGTCTCTATATATTTTTTTTTTTATGTTTAAGATGTTCCATACTAAAAGATTAAAATGTTTTAAATACTGCTGCTATCAAATTTGGGTAATGAATTCCAAAATTTTCCTATTTTAATTATTAATTTGCATTTAAATAGTAAATCTAGTTACAGCATAGTTGTAAAACTTATTTTAAAAATAGCTTCATCAGTAACTTTTTGAAGAAACCACAATAAAATATTTATTTAATGAATTAAATTCATTCTGTTTACTATTGTATTCCTATGATATGTGGAAGAACTAAAGGGCAGCTAATTCTGAAGAAGGGACAAACCTTTAGACAATTAATTAACCTTAATTTACATAATGATCTTATTTGCATAGCTAATGGCTAGGAATTGATTATAAGTCATTAACAGTCCTTAATAAGTGAAATGTGTTAAAAATACATGAGTTTGTACTTTACACTCAAGAGGCAAAGGTTAGTTTTGAAATGTTAATAACAATAGCCAAGAATTGGGCATTGAACAAACATTTATCTTTTAGGCTTTATGCATTTTCAAGAACATAATTCATGAATTGGCTATTAGATAATACCTCTACATGCATAATAGGGCATATATAAGCATTCATGAGTGCATTAGGTAAATTATTATTAGTCTTAGATTTACATTCAAATTACAGTAATGAGGGTAGTTGTAATATATTCATATACAAGAACTAAATATATTTCTAATCATAGAAATCAGAGATATTTCTTGAAAAATATTTCTTTAAAATGATTTGGCTGTATCTGTGCAGCCCTCGCCATTAGATCAGTAAGTGAGATTTGAAGTAAATGCAAAGGTGTATTTTAGTATTTATGATCAAGAGCTGAACTGAGACAGAAAATTCTATAATGCATCTCCAGCCTTTTACTCCCATCTTGTTCTCCTTTCTCTTACGAGGCCTGGGCTCTCTCCCTCTGATATCCATATGTGTGCTCTAGCTCTCATGCTCTCTTCTTTTTTCCAGTTTCCCCTTCTCAAAATGTTGATTGATGGAGTGATAAAATGCCTAGAAATGGCCCCAGAGTAAAAGATAAGTGTTTCAGATCCTGTTTCACTCTTCACACTCTATATGACTCTATTCTAATGGGTACATTAAATTTGGTTTTCTTGGGTTTCCTAGATTCTAAAAATTTTGATGTGACTATAGAAAAAGAAAAAAAAAGAAAAAGAAAAAGGAAGATGGATTACTTAAATGCAAAGGAGCATTATGGCTGTGAATGGAAAAGAATAGAATTTATCCAGCTGTGAATGAAAAATAATAGAATTTATCCATTGCTAGTAACAGCTCTCAGAATCTGTGCCGGCCCCCTTCACAAAGTGGCTGTTACTTGTTCCTCTGTGTGCATGAACTATATGATACTGGAATGCTGAAGAAAGATTTTGGAGTCAAAAGTTGTGAGCCTAAAACTTCAACTTTTTATTTACTGACAAGTGTTATGTTTAGAAAATCACTTAAACTTTCCTTATTATGTCCTTGTAATGAAACTAATGTTTCTCATCTCCTAGAAATGGGTGTGAATTACAGACAATGCAGCATATAAATTATGATAAATGTTAGTCATTAATTTTAAGATGTGTTTTCCTCTATTATAAGAAAATATATAAGTACCAGAAGCCACACAATTCACAGAATATCTAGTGGTTATGCACTCATTAAAAATATACTACATTCCAGAGGCTAGCCAGAACATCACAGTGGGATGAAATAATGTTTATAATTTAACATACACAGATAATGATGGTATTCTATAATTTTGTACACAAACTTTAGAAGTAGTATGTTATTGTCTTGACAAGTTAGGAGTATGAAATCACTGTCAGCATTGTTATATTTTAGAAATTAAAATAAATGGACAAACATCCCTTAATATTAATGGTCTTTCTTTATTTTTCACTGATAACTTTTAGATGTGGATTTCATTAGAAAATAAGCTGAGTTCAGTCAAGACAGCGGTGCAAGTACACTTGTTACTCAAAACCTCCTACAACCGGATCAAAATTACAACTAAATTACAGAACAACCATCATTCAGAACTGCCTGAAAGCTAGCTAAACAGAAGTCCTATTATTAAGGATCTAAAGAAGAAGCCACAATGAGACTGGTAGGAGGAAGAAAGACATGAAAAGGGCTCTGGTAGTTAAAAATCAGGAGGGATATCTCTGCAGCAGAGGTCTTTTCTAAGGAGTGAGAGGTCCTGGCTCTACATCAGAACCCCTATCCCAGGGCTCCAGTGCTGGGAAGAGAAGTCCCTAAGCCTTCTAGCTGTGAAAACCAGCAGGGATTGTGACTGAGTAAGACTGAAGAATACTGGAGTCACAGGTTTTCCTTTAGAAGGAGCCTCAGATTTACTTACTTGGACTCACGTGCTCTAAGTTCCAGCACTGGGGCAACAGCTGGAAAAGCACCAGGGACATATAGGGAGAAACTGAATTCTCTGGATGGCATCAAGGCAAGACTGAAGGGGCAGCTTTCTCCCATACAGAAATGCTGGCAGAGGTCATTGTTCCCTTGCTGAGCCCTATCCTCACTAAGGAAGTAGATGAACATCACATCTGAGTTTCCATCACTCTAGCTAACACTGTTCACCCAGCTCTGGTGATTCCTTGAGACCCCACCCCATGTAAGTTGCAGGTTCACCCAAGCCATTTCTGGTGGCTCCTCCATACAAATGGGCTCTCTTAGTTCATGCTTTGGATTTTCCTAAAATCTCTACCAACAAACATAAAGACAAACAAGCAAAAACCAGCATCTGGCCTCTGTGTACCACATACATCTTGCTAAATGGCCTCAGGTCTGGCACTAGTGGCAGCTAGTTTGGTCCACAGTTTGACCTCTCCTGGTACCTTCAAGCCCAGCACAAATAGCAGCCATTTTCATACTGCTCTGTAGCTCATGCGAGGTGACCCTGGCTGAACACAAGTGGTGGCTGACTGTACACCCACCTCCCTGGAGGCCCCAGAGCCAGTGCATCTGGTGGAAATCTTTAGATCATGCCAGATTACAACCAACCACATCCACAAGCCACACGTAAAGGGGCAGATTTGGTGGGCACCAAAGCCCCATTGAAGCAAGTCCTGCTCCATGGGGTCAGACTCTGCTCAGCAGCCCCTTTGCTGCAGTCACAGCTATTCCCTGCCACAAATCAGCCTGGACGTTCAATTGCTCCAAGGAACATGCAAGCAGCAATCAAGGCTCAACTACAACAGGACAGTGCACAACAGAAAGCTTTCTTAATTTGGTGAAAGGAATAGACATATAAAACCAAGAAGCACAGAGAGTACCATACAAGATACATACAAAGAGGCCCACACCAAGACACATAATTAAAATGCCAAAGGTTAAAGACAAAGATAAAATCTTAAAAGCAATAAGAGAAAAGCAGTTAGTTACCTATAAAGAGCTTCCATAAGATTGTCAGCTGATTTTTCCAAAGAAATTTTGCAGGCCAGAAGGGACTGGCATAAAATGGTCAAAGTGACAAAAAGCAAATCCGAAAAACCAAGATTATTCTCCCCAGAAAAACTGTCATTTACAATTGAGTGACAGATAAAGAGCTTCCCAGACAAGAAAAGCTAAAGGAGTTCATCACTATCAAACCAGTATTACAAGAAATGTTAAAGGATTTTCTTTAAGAAGGAAAAGGAAAAACAACAATAACAACAACACACAACTAAAAATATAAATAATAAAATGTCAATAAACCCATACCTTATCAAAACTACTTAAAATGTAAGTATATTAAATGCTCCAATTAAAAGACATACTATGATAACTTAATGGATAACAAAATAAGACCCTCCTAGAGATACACTTCAGATTGAAAGATACACGCAGTCTGATATGAAGGGATGGAAAAGGATATTTCATAAAAATGTAAACAAAAAGCTGGGTAGCAATAATTATTCTAGACACAGTAAGTTTTAACAAGGCTATAACCAGAGACAAAGGAGCATCACCCAGAAGCTCCATTTCTGGGTATTTATTTAAAGAAACCCAAAACACAGAATCAAAAAGACATAGACACCCAAATGTTTATTGCAGCATTATTTACAATAGCCAAGATATGAAAGAGACCTAAGTGTCCATCACTACATGAATGGATAAGGAAGTAGTGCAAACACACAATAAATTATGATTCAGCCCTAAAAAATACTGAAATATTGCTATATGCAACAATGGACTGAGAGGGTATTGTGCTGAGTGTAATAAGTTAGAGAAAGAAAAACGTCAGATGATTTCAATCATATGCTGAATCTAAAAAGAAAATAATCAAACAAGAGAACAGAAGTGGACTCATACATACAAAGAACATTCTTACAGTTGCTAGGTGAAAGAGAGGTTGGGGGGATGGGTGAAAAAGGAGAAGGAATTTAGAAGTACAAATTGGAAGTTAAAGAGTATTTATAAGAATGTACAGTACAACATAGGGAACATGGTAATATTGTAGTAACTACTAATATACTATGGTGTTAGATGAACACTTAATTTATCACGGTGATCACTTCATAAGCCATATAAATACAGAATCATAGGGTTACATACCTGAAACTAATATAATATGGTATGTTAATTGTAATATATATATATTTATATATTCATATATTTATATATATTTATATATTCATATATTTATATATATATTTATATATATTTAAATTAAAGTAAGATGAGCAGAAACACCATATATTTATTTTAAAATCTTTAAATAATATAACTTACTTTTTGAAGGAACTCGGAGATTGGCAAGGACCACTTCCAGGGAATCAGCTTGGACTCGAAGTACATAGCTTGTCCTTGTTTCATAGTCCAGAAGGTCATTCACATAGATAACACCCGTGACATTATTAATTCCAAACTTTCCTAGAATTAAAATGTAATTTTTTGGTCATTTTTTTCAAACTTCAAGTAAAAACAATTCTTAAAAGGCGTTGTGAGTTCAAAATACATTTTTTAGTAGTAGTTCATACAGGGATAAGAAACTGGCTTTTGGAAACTATATTTTAGCTCTTTGGAAACTTACATTCCAGAAATTAGAAACATCAGTATTACCCTAATCACAGGCCTTGTAATTCTATTTTTTTTCTAAGATTCTCCTTGAAATCAATGTTTCTGTGAGCAGTTGCATTTAGAAGCAATATATACCATACCCCTCACCCTAGATTCAAATGGTCTTCTATCATACTAAAGACTTTTAGAAATTCTGTTTTAAATAAACCATTTAATTTTGTTTAACTATTTTATTATCTTATTAAATTATTATACATTTTATGATTAAATGCATCTTATTATTCCGTAGATTTAGTGCCCTGCTAAGAACACCTTAGGAAAAAACGTGGTGATTATTTAGAAAATATGGTTTATTATTTTAAATAGCTTCAAATACTTTGCTCTGATGTTCATTTGTTCAATGAATTTTCCCATTTAATATATATTTGAAGGAAGAGCAGGGCACATTGGTAAATTGTAAACTATCTCACCTCTTGCACTCATGTTATAGTTTTCTCTTTAGTCATCTCCATAGTATTTATTACTGCCTAAATACTATAAACTTATCAGTTTAATAATTTGTACGAGGGAAAGGATCTTCTTTATTCCCTGCTCTATTCCTCATGGCTGGAAGATCACTTAGTATCGAATAGGTGCTCAATAAATAGTTTTTAAATAAATCAATAATATATGTTGAATAAATTAAAAATCAATAAATTGTAACAATAGTCATTATGGAATAAGAAGGGTAATAATTAGAATTCCTCTGCCTTTTTTTTTTTTAAAGGAGGAGAACTGATAGAATCACAGGAAGAAGTACCAGAACAGATTGAGAAATCACAGGTATAGTCAGATGCTGGAAGTTCAAGGAAAAAGGAAGTTTAGTGAGGTTTAGGAGGGAAGGAATAGCAGTAGAAATAAAGAAGAAACAATAAGAATAGTATGATGTTGATCACTGTTTAGGGGCAGCGATTTTTTTGTAATGGTTGGTTGTTGGAACACTTAAAAAAGGCCTTTACAATTTCTGTGCCAGCTGCTTAACAGTCTTAATGTTGATTCATTAATTTCATATTTATTCTTTATGCAATAATATAAATATATATATTAACCATTTTGGCTACCTATAATATTCCAGGCGTACAGTTTATCAAAAGGGAAAAGCAGAGGACAACTAACTTGTGGATAGCAGTGACACAAAGAATGGGTCATCAAGACTGAGCTATGGACTTATTCCTAAGGCTCACAAACCATCCTCTTCTGAGTGAAACGTGACGGGTAGACCAAAACCTCAGTTATTTGTTTACTTACAGTTGTCAATTGTATGTCTAACTTAACTGTTTGAGGAGCAATATTACACAATATTCATGGCTTTTGTCACGCATGTGCCTCTTTGGGCATTTACAATCATTTATAGTTCTAAAATTTCTTCAGGATCAGCTACTATTAATATATGACATGAAATGCAAGGGGTAGATGATAGGAAGTAGTGGGAAGAGACTCCTGGAAGACAATAACTAAAACTTACAGCTGAAAGTATCATAAATTAAATTGGAAGTAAAGTCATTAAAGTATCCTTAAATGAGAAGCAAACGACTGACAGAATTAGATATTTAGTATTTCCTGGTGGGGTGGAGGAGATCATTTTCATTAATGTAACTAGATTTTTAATCAGATTCAGTTCATAATTACCAATTGCATGTAAGCCGGAAATGTTTCTTTTTTAAATATAAAGTAAACAATAATTCAATCTGAAATTAATTCCAAATCCAGGTTGATTAGGTTATGGTAAAAACTCAGACTAAACATCTACTCACCCTCTTCATTTCCTGAGACAATTGAGTACACGATGCTCTGATTGACGGCCGCGGCAGAAATGACACCCACTGCAGTCCCTCGCGCAGCCAGTTCACTTACTGGAGGAGGCCTGAAGGTTTAGAGAAAATAACTTTTTATTGCCCATTTTGCCAGGGTGGAGTTTTGAATTTAATAATAGAATGCTAGTTTATGTGTGTGTGTGTTCAGGTGAACATTTTCTGAAGTTTTTCAGAAAGTACATTGACTCCAACTCTAAAAATTGTTTAAAATGATGCAAAGGCTCTTTTAATCATGTCATCACTTGCGCTGTTTTTAATTTGAGATGGCACATACGACTGCTTTATTATTTGCCAAATATCATTAAAATTTTTTTTCACTTGTCTCTAAAGCACCTTCCAGACTGAAAACAACAGAGAGATGCAATTTGCCATCTCAATTGCTAGAGTAAAATGTTGCTATTGTTTTGTTGATGTTATCATATTTAAGCAAATGGCTTCCAAATGTCTCTTTCTCATCTTTTTTCTTGCTCCATTGCAAAGCTCTAACTATACTAAAAGTATTTGAATAGATGGCATCAAAAAATGTACAGCCCTTTTAAAATTACATATTATGCTTAGCTATAGCCACACTACGATAACACATTTAAATCAAAAATATATTTTCAACAACTCCTTATATAGTTCTCAAAAATCTCAATTTCGTTATGCAATATTAATCACTCTAACTAGAAAATCATAATTTTACTGGTATAAATTAATATAAATAAACTCACTTTTATAATTCACAGGTTTGTATCATCCATCTCCAATAAATTTAGAAAATTATTAAATATAACTTCTAATAATATCTCTGAGTCCTTTTGTAGTCTAGTCAATCTGTCTAACTCATCTGGTTCCTAATAAGCTTTAGTTTCTTAAACCGATAAGATAAATCCTATTGCCATTTCTTTCATATGTATTTTTTTTCAATACTTACACTTTTAATGTTACTCCTTATTTTAATTCCCACTTTTTCAGTTCTTCTAATCTAGAGCAATTGTGTCTTTATTGAAGCCTTTTTAACAAACTAGAGGCCTGGTGCACAAGTATGTACATGGGTGGGGTTTCTCCGCCTGGCTGGCAATTGGGGCTAACAGGCTGTAGGACGTTGGCTGTGGGAGTGCAATGACCACCAGGGGCCAGCTCCTGCCTTGAGCGTCTACTCCCTGATGGTCAGTGCGTGTAATAGCAACCAGTCTACTGGCCGTTTGGTAGTTTAGGCTTTATATATATATATGCACTGAGACACAAATATAGTTTGAAAATGTAATTACACATAACCCTTTATAAACATCTTGTCCAAATTGCTATGTTCTTTGGGACTGTAGTCCACATAATTGTTTCACTCAGTTACGTAAATATAAAGTGCTATATCTTACAGATGTTGCAGTATCTAATGGTGGTCCATATATTCATTACATGGTTAATAACTATATTTTTTACTCTCCTGAATCCTTTCTGTCTTCTTTTGTTAACAGCATCCAGAATTTGCTTTGGATAATGCTTCCTCCTCCATTCTCATTCTAAGTGGTTTGGGTAGGGCTGACCAATCCCTGAGATATGGATAAATACATTACCTCTCTCTGGCCAATGAGGACACTTTATCCTCTTTGCTTAGTGTTTATGAACAGCCAATGAAATCTGTTCCCAGAAATGTTACTGTTACTTTTCTGATATAATAAAGAGATGGTATGTAAATTGACTGTCAGGTCCTCACACAAGATGGTTGGCAGGGGAGGGCAGTTGGGGGCGACTGGGCCAGCAGGGGAAATCAGGCTTGCAGAGGAGAGAGGACAGTTAGGGGTGATCAGGCCAGCAGGGGAGGGAAGTTGGGGGGTGACTGGGCTGGCAGGGGAGGGCAGTTGGGGGCGACTGGGCCAGCAGGGGAAATAGGTGTTGATCAGGATGGCAGGGAAGTGGTTAGGGGTGATCAGGCAGGCAGACAAGCTGTTAGAAACAAGCATTTTTGGATTGTGAGAAGGATGTTCGATTGCCCACAGGAATCAGGCCTAAACCAGAAGTTGGACATCCCCTGAGGTGTTCCAGATTGGAGAGGGTGCAGGCTGGGCTGAGGGACAAACCCCCACCCACTCACGTGCATGAATTTCATGCACCAGGCCTCTACTTAGAAAATAAGGTGTTCATTTTGTATTTTTTTGTTAGAATTTTAATATTTGTACTCTTTAGGAATGTTCTTGTTGAGCATAATATCAACACAAATGAAATAATGGGATTAAAATAGAATCCCTGTTCTTGGACTAATATTTTAAATGCTGCTATACTTAAAGCTAGGTAAGCTCATTATTTCAGTCATGGAAAATTATATTTTTCTTTTATTTCTCATTTGCCTAAGATTCCTATCACTTCCAATCAAATAGTCCCAACTAAATTAGAAAAAGATATGTTTGCTTATCAGTGGTTGGCAAACTCATTAGTCAATAGAGCCAAATATCAACAGTACAACGATTGAAACTTCTTTTGAGAGCCAAATTTTTAAAACCTAAACTTCTTCTACTGCCAGTTCTTCAAAATAGACTCGCCCAGGCCATCTATTTTGTGGAAGAGCAATACTCAAGAGGCCAAGAGCTGTATGTGGCTCACGAGCCGCAGTTTGCAGACCACGGGCCTTGATAGACACTTCTTAAGATACCTAAGAAACATAATTATGTTCTATAAGAAATTTATTTAGTCATTATCGTAGTTTCAGCTCAGTAAAATAAGGATTCCTTTGGTGACTTGGAATTAAAATTAATACAAAAAGGAAGGCATTTACAAAAGTGACACTAGGCTGGTTTTGATGGACTGCTTTGGTTGTGAATAAACTGTATGCTACTTTAGATTAGAAAGATGCATCAAGACACTTTTCTGTTTATCACATTGCTTAGTGGTTTATCATGGTGATTAGGAAATAAAAATATGAAGAAGGTTAAAATCAGAGAGCTATGGAAACACAGTAGTCTTTAAAAAGGCTGTTAATAATCTCCCACTTTCGGCATTCCTTCCCCTGAGTATTCCTCTCCCCTTTCAGAAGGGGCAGAGAGCTAGTACTTGTTTCTTAAGGACAGAAATTGGTGAAGTAGATGTGACCTCACCTCAGTGATTCCATAACATAAGATTTTAATGTGCAACTTCACTTTTGCTAGTAGACTCCATGTCCTTGGCTGGATTTATGAAGTGAACATATGGAATTGTCTGCATGACAACATACTGAAGATGTCTGACCAATGTCAGTGAGGAACTGAGGCCCTCAGTCCTACGTCCCGCAAGTAACAGAATCCAATCAACACCACATGAGCTTGAACATGGACCTCTCCCTACCTAGTCAAGTCAGAGATGAGACCCTAGCCCCGGCCCTAATCTTGATTCAAAACTATGTGAGTCTATGGAACAGAGAGAGAGCATAAGAGGTGAACAACTGTTGAGCTACAGAAAATTCAAGATGATATACGTATTGTTTTAACTTATTAAGTTTGTGTTAATATTGTTATGATGCAATTATATAGCTGATATACATGGCTTGACTATTAAGAGCAATGAATTGTTAACTTATGACAGATCAAGTTACATACAATTTAAGTAAATATTAGAAAAAAATGTTAGTCATATTTTGCAGTAATTTTCATAAACCAAATTAATTACTTCTAATGGAATTAAGTATTGCTTACATTATTTACTTGTCTGTCTTTTTAATGCATGAAATAAAAGCTAAATTTTGTACTTTCCACAATTAATTTATTGATCCTTATAAAGTACATAAATATAAAGTCAGCAGCTAATGTACCTTAAACTTTAATATTAAAAAAATTCCATCTTTTACTTCAAACTTAAAAATAATATTTTTGTGTATTTTGTACAATATGGATAGAAATGATTAAGACTGGACAAATTAATTGATATAATTTTTAAATATATCTTATTGATTTTTTACAGAGAGGAAGGATAGAGTTAGAAACATCGATGAGAGCGAATCATCCATCAGCTGCCTCCTGTACAGCCTGCACTGGGGATATGCCCACAACCAAGGTACATGTCCTTGACCAGAATGAAACCCGGGACATTTTAGTCCACAGGCCAACGCTCTATCCACTGAGCCAACCCAGTTCAGCTTAATTGGTATAATTTAAGAAGGATTTTAAATGCAATGCATACTAATAAAAGCATTTAATATTCTATTGTTACTAATGTTTAAAACAGATTTACTTCTAAACAAAGTATCTCCTTATTAACCTTTGTCTTAATTGTTCCAACACACTTCTTTCTACCAGAATCAAAACATACTATAAAAATGCAATTTTCTCCAGGCTAGAATTAAGTGAATCTCTATGATAATGAGCACTGAATTGCAAAATTTCTATTTATTGCCAGCTGTACAGGACACATTTTATTTTATGCCCTGTAAAGTACAAGTTACATGATTGGATAAATTACATCTTTCCTTTGGAATCAGATATAATTTCAATACAAAATGAAGCAATTGGTATAAATGAAGACTCTTAAAATCAGATGACAGAGAGGATAGAAAGATAACAAAATTGAATAAAATCAGCTGAGCGTAAATTAACAGGAAAGGGGGTGAAAATAAAGAATTGGTCACATTGCATGCTCCACTTAATAAGAGTATTATGCAACAGTGCAAGTTCACTGTGATTTTAAAGTGGAAAAGTAAATTTAAAATTTTATGTGAATTCAATAAACTTTTATATTTTGGCAACCAACCAAAGTTTATATTTTAAAACATCATCTATGGGCTGATAATTTATGTTTTTTAGAGTAAACTATCTGAAAGGTTTCTGGTTCAGTCATTCTGAGCCTGATATAATCTGAGTTCTCATTCCCTCTTTTACTTCTGTTAAGTATAATAGCAACTTATTGATTAATTTCAGAAGCAAATAATATAGCCAAATAAAAAATTCCTCAAAGATATTTTTTTCAAAACAATTTCTCCTGCTATTAATTGATATAGTTGCAATTCATCTATTTTACATAAACAATGCATCATTTACCCTTTTCCAATTGACTTTTTACCTCCTAATTTAAAACAAGTAGTTGCTGAGTGTCTGAAATTCAAGAA